CGAGGAGGAGGGGATAGGTGGCCGAGGGGATAGGGAAGGGGAAGGGGGCGGCAGGACGAGGGGGAGAGGGAGGGGGAGTTAGGCAGGAAGGGGGAGGGGGGCGGCAGGACGAGGGGGAGAGGGAGGGGGTTAGGCAGACCTAGGGGGAGGGGGGGTAGCCGGGCGAACCGAGGGGGAGGGGGAGGGGGCGGTGAGGCGGGAAGGAGGAGGGGGGGAAGGGGCGGCGGGATGAGGGGGAGGGGGAGCGACAGGACGAGGGGGAGGGGGCTGGGCGGACCGAGGGGGGGGGGGAGTGGGTGGCGAGGGGAGGAGGGGGAAGGGGCTCGGCAAACGAGTGGGAAGGCTGGGCGGACGAGGGGGAGGGCGGCCGGCGAGGGAGAAGACGAGGGGGAAGGGGAGTGGGCGGACGAAAGGGAGATGAGAGGGAGGGCGCGAGAAGGAGACGAGGGAACTGATGAATGAAGGGAGAAATGAATTTAAAAATATTTTTTACACCAGGTGTCCAGGCACCCGGTGTAAAAAAACTGGTGTAAAAAATATACTTTTTACACCGGGTGCCTAGACACCCGGTGTAAAAAGTATAGTTTTTACACCGGGTGTCCAGGCACCCGGTGTAAAAAACTATACTTTTTACACCGGGTGCCTGGACACCCGGTGTAAAAAGTATAGTTTTTACACGGGTGACACCAGGTGTCCAGGCACCCGGTGTAAAAATTATACTTTTTACACCGAGTGGGGGAATCCAGTGTAAAAAGGTAACTTTTTACACCGGGTGCCTGGACACCCAGTGTAAAAAGTGTCACATAATTCAAGATAATTACAAAAATGCCACCGCCTTTATTTTTTACACCATTTGCCTTACAACCGATGTAAAAAGTACCCCATAAATTTTATATTTTGTACTAGTATTTATGAATCCGAAAGGTGTTAATTGAACCATTTTGTGTGTTGAGGGATTTAATTTAGTCGAATCAGTACTTATGTTGATTATTAAAAATTGATTGAGAGACTTTACATATGGCACTAAAAATCAAAACCAATGTCAATAACATGTTCACAAATCAACCTACACTTGAACCTCAGCCACATCAATTGTAGCCTAAACTATACCCGTACCTGCCTCAAGACAATAATACCTGTTTGAGGCAACTAAGGAACATGATGTTCTAAATGAATGAGACAATTTAGTTGAGGGAGTGTAGGAAGAAGGGGAAACAAAAAGAACTTGTAATGGAGAGCCATAAGGAGAGTAAAACTATAGTATTTTGTATACTTGTCATTTATTCACTTGGTGTTTTAGCTTTAGCCATCCCTCATGCAGTTTTATATAATGGAAAAATTTAATCATGATTTATTCCTTGTTTAATGATGGGTAATTACCCATTATTTCAATGTTAGGACAATGGATAAAGGTTTGAAACCATCATTTATGGGGAAAAATACCATCATTTTTGCCCGTTTCTAGCATAGTGTGAAGGGGAAGAAGAAGAAGGACATAGTAAGATGGCATTGAACCTCTCATAAAATGCTGGAGGCAGTGGTATCCAATTGATAAATGACAATTTTATATATTTTTATCCTTTTAATTTAGACTTTAAATATTTATTTGAGGCTAATTGAGTTTAATTAGATATTATTTAATTTTATTAGCCAATATTCAGTTTTAAAATTTTAACTATCTAAATTTTTGATTTTAAAATATAAATAATATCTTTAATATTTGTGCACAGGTGCTATTTAATTTTATTTTATTTGTGCAGATTTTTTAGATTCAATTTGAAAGATATTGATAGAGAATATTTGGATAAGAAGAATATGGGCATACTTGGATATCAATTCAAGAATCAAATCTTTAAAATTTTGTTTGAATTTATTTTGAGTTATTTAGTGTAGTTTTTAATTAGCGTTATTTAGGGTAGTTTAATTTTTTTAATAAATTATTAAGTTTTATTAGAAAATGAAAAGAAAAAGAGACGCAGCACCGTATGTGTGTATATATATATATATATATAAAGCAAGCTGCACGCACAAAAAGGAGGATCCATTCTATATATAAAAGGAAAAGCATGATTTTTGATAGAAAAAAAAGGACGAGAAAAAGAAAAAACACAAGCGATGACGTGCGTAGGAGGAAGAAGAAAGGACAACGGGGGATCGCAGTTCATTTTTCTTTTCTTCAATACAGGCGATGGTTTGTCAATTTCTCATCTCATATTGCTTGATTTTTAGTTTTATGGATAGCTAAATTTTTTTTTTTGTGTGATCAATTATAAACTATGATCCTAAATTTTAATTCGAGTCCTTGATATTTAGGAAAGATTTTATTTTAGCTTTATTTCAATTTATTCTTTTTCTCTCTACCTCTAAATTTTATGCTTTAACTGCTATTGCTGATTAAAGTAACTTTATTGCATAATTTTTGAATTATAAATTTTATCTGAGATTTTATTGCTATAATTGATTGAGATAGTAACATAAGAGTAATTTGGCCTAGCGTGGGTGATTATCCATGCTTTGTTTCTGGTGTGGCTAACATGGAACAGTTGTTAGGTTGTGGGTTAAAGGAGATCTCGATTAATCTATAACTTAATTTCTTGTTTAATTCTTAAATGATAGTTTGAGAAATAAATAATAAAACCAAAACAATAAAGTTAAATAAAATTAATTTAATTTGTGGACGAGAAAGATTAAATTTAGGTGATTGACTTATGATTGATTGTGCTGCGTGTTCTTGATAATTTTTTCAGTTGAATTTTATTTATTTATCTAATTTTAATTTAGATTTTTTTAATTTCATTATAAAACCCCCCATTTTTTAGCTTTTCATAATCATAATTTAAATAATTACTCGATTGACTTTTAGAGAGACGACTTATTTTGCGCTTTACTGCAAAATTTTATTTTCATTAATTTTAGTGCTATTCGACAATGGTGATACCAATCTCATGGTACCGAGGTCTCAATTGATAGAGCATATATGGAAGAGTTTTTCATGATTCTTTTTGCCAAGTTTTGGCAGGAGTATAAAAGCGAGGGAAGCCAAGCAATGCACCAGAATCATGGTTTATTGAGCCATAGTTTTGTTAGAAACCGTGGCTTGGTTTCTAAAAAACCATGGTTAGCTATGGTTATTGCAAAAACCGTGGCTTTAATTAATTTCAGGCGAAAAAAATTATAGCAACAATTTTTTTTTTAAAAGCATGGGATTAACCACAGTTTAAGAAAAACCATGGCAATCTTCCATCGCTATTGCAGTATCCTTTTTTTTTTTTTTTGGTAGTGATAGATAGACATATGGAAACTATATTCAAGTTGGTGACTTACTCATCATAACAAAATGTAATATTGGCCATGTTGATGCTTGTGGAAGAGCATAGAGCCATTTGATGGATCCCAATTGATTTGGGAAGAGCTCAAGAAGAAAATTTTCAACCATTACTTTCCAACAGTCATTAGGGCCGAGAAGGACAGAGTTCCACAAGTTGGAACATGGGAATATGGATGAAGAAGAATTTATCACTAAGTTTATTGAGCTCTCTAGTATTCTATCTGCCTAATGAATATGATGACATCTAATGGAAGGCTTGAGAGACTATTAGAGAAAGCCAGGCTTAAGTACAAGAAACAGTTGACATATCTTGATCAGGTTACCTCTTGATTAGTTGAGATTTGACATGAAAATGAAAAATTAAGAATAACAAGTTTATCTATATTTTTTAATCAACAAGAGACTAGAATTAGATATGAGAAAAAGAGTCATAAATATATCAATAGTGAAAATGAGATGTTTGAAGTGATTGTAATTTTAAATGACTTGGGTGTATAAGGAATTTGAAATGAGAAATGAATTTGAGTCAAATCTAAATCCTCATTAATCCAAACGCACCATTAGCAAATAGTGTCACGAGATTGAGATCATCATACATAAAACGAATGATTTGAGGAATTTGCTCCATTACAAAGAAAATCTAAAATAAAAAATGGAAATAAAAATTATATTATTAATATATCAAATATTAATATATGATATAATAATTCAAAATTTGAAGTTATTTATTCCTAAGATCTACTTATTAGCAAATAGTCATCATGACAAGAGTAATGACCATGATTTTGTAGATTTGGTTTGCTCCTCCATATTTCCATTTCATTTCATTTTTCTTCTGTATTATTTCTATTCAATGTACACTACTTGCATTTAAAAATGCTTTCACCCCAAATGAGGGATTTAAATCATTGAGTACTTATCAATATATTATGGGCGGCGTGTGTGTATTCTTTTACGTCTATAGAGTTGAATCCTAAACCTCAATTTATCTAGAGAAAATGATAATCAAATCCTGTCAGAATTATGCAAATAGTAGTCTAATTTTTTAAAATGTCATAATTCCACTGAAATTTTTAAGAACTTTTATGTCAATAAATTTTAAAGTGAAAAAATTATTTTACCCTTGTTGAAAATGACAAACCCCAATCACAACTTTTACATAAGAAATAACAACTTTTGTTCTGCAAATAGCGAGAGTTGAACAAAAAATCATAACTTGTTAAATGTAATTTTTATTATTGAAAAACAAGCCCCAATTACAATTTTTACTTACGAAATAATAACTTTTGTTCTGTCAATCACTAGAGTTGAACAAAAAATATAATTTGTTAAGTGTAATTTCTATTATTGAAAAACAAGTTCTCAAAACAACAAGCCTCAAGCAAAATTTTATTTAAGAAATAACAACTTTTATTTAAAAAATCGTAAGAATGGACAAGATATCACAATTTGTCAATAAAAATAAAATTATTCTTTTTAATTTAAAATTTATTAACACAGAAGTCTTTAAAATTTTAGAGGAATTATAGTATTTCAAGAGACCCATTTATTATTTATATAATTTGGAAGATTTTATCGCCATTTTCCCATTTATCTATATCCCATCCTAATTATCCAAGCTTGTCTTATGTCATGTGATGTATTTATTGTTAATATCATACAAAATAAATTATCAAACGTTGATCAAATCCATAGACTTTGTTAAACCAAAAGTGATTCCCATGGCGATCCACCCTCCGATCAAAACCCTAGAAGACGACTTCACCACTGGTGCTTTCCCCAAAAATGCACTCAACACTCCGAACCCTAACAAGGCCAGGCTTACTACACCCACCACCACCGCCAACCTCACCTTGTACTCTTTTATAAACGCCGCCCCCAGCAGCGGCACCGCAGCACCGCTGCCAAACGCAACTATTGAGGCTACCGCCGCATACAACGGGTTGGGTAACTTTGCTTTGTTCACCTCTTTTCTTTCCCTCTTCAGCTGGGCTACCTCGATATCATACTGCGAGTACACCGACACAAACTCTCCGATTGCCATGCCACAAGCTCCAGCGACAAGACCGGCGATTCCGGTGAGCACCATCGTCTTGACATCCTTACGTACGGCCCCGACTCCCATAATGAGGGACGCTGTGGAGAGCAACCCGTCGTTGGCTCCGAGAACGGCGACTCGTAGCCACTGGGCCCTTTGGCTATAGTCAACGTCGTCGTTGATGTTCTCTTGTCGTTGATCACCATGAAGGTTTCCTTGAGGTGCTTCTATGTCGGAAATGGCGTTTCTGAAGGGGTCTGAGGAGAAGATGGAGCGATTGGGCTCAGCTTGTGATTTTCCATAATCGAAGAGAATATTGTTTTGATGCTAAGTAAGAACTTAGTAAGATTTTTGAACGAGAGTGTGTGGAGGACACACGCTGCCTTATGAAGCTATTTATAGATATGGAGGGTAAACTTGGGACTTAAGTGGAAAATGAAAGAAGATAAGGCCATAAGGGTAGTGGTGGTATCCATTGAAGAATCTTATTTATGCTTTCCCATTTGGAAGAGTGTGTGTGTGTGTGTGTGTAGTTTCTCGAGTGAAAATATATTCGATAAGCCTAGTCGTAGGATTTCATCAATTTCTTACCTTACTCTAGTCATTTCATTTTTCTTCTCTTTTCTCTTTTCATATTTGCCGCATGCATGGTGTTTCATTTATTTGTTATTCCATGTTTTGTTTGATTATAGCTTAGATTTTGTGGATGCAGGCTGCTATTGTACATGTATGAATGTCTTTTTTTGTATTTTACATTATAGATGAAGTAAGATGTACCCGTATTTTTCTTAAAATATTATTTTAACTAATCACTTTGATGAACTATCAAGTGAGGTTATCGGATGACCATTGCCGTCAATAATATCAGTAATTAATAATATTTTTATTAATAATATATTATTAAAATATTAATATTTTAATATTTAATACTTTAAATATTATTATTTACAAATCTTCGCACAAATTAAAAATCAACTTTTGAGAATTGTGATTTACAAATCTCCATAAATTTACAATTTGACTTGTATATTTGTTAGTATAATTTAATATGCGATCATTTGTAAATCTTCCTCCAAAATTTATAAATACTCCTTTAAAAATTAATAGCACAATTGGTGTATCCAAGATTCAAAGGAGAATATATTTGTTCACACTACTTGAGCTGTAAATTAAAATAGTGTCTTCTAAAATTTATAAGACCCTCTTCAAAAAAATGGGTAAATCAGCAATTTGGCCCCAAAACCATGGGTCCAAGAGTATTTAAAATTTTAAACTCATTTTTAGTGTAATGTCTACCTTCAATTATTGAAAATGATGTAATTTAGCTTCTACCATTAGCAAAAGTTAACTTTAATTATTAATTGATCAAAAAATGATCTCAAAAATTACAAAAAAATAAAATAAAATTCTTGGTCCTTTTATGAATTTTTTTGGGTTCTTGTCTGTAACTTTTTGGTTCTTTAATATAATTTAAATAATAATATTTGAATTATTAAGAATTAAAGTATTAATATTTTCATAAAACATTTATTCAAATAATATCATATTTTTTATTTTCTATCAGTATTGTTGCAAGCATTGTTGATCCCATAATCACTTGGTGATATGTCAAAATTGTTTGTTAAAATGATCTTTCGGTCTTTTACAAGGTTAAATAACATTAGTCTCTGGCATTTATTTATAATTTAAGGGTCTTAATTGGTATTATTTTTTCATGGTACGTATGTATAATTTTTGGCGTCTTTCCTGTAATATTTTGTATTTTTTGCTATAATTTTTAGCCAATTAATTGTGAAATTAATGGATGTTCTTCGGAGCAACAATATTGTTTCATTTTTAATACATGAGGAGGGACATTGCACTTAATTTGAGGGTGTCCAGTGCGCTTGACAAAAACTAAGGGGCAAATTAGTCCTTGAACATTAAAAAGAGATAAAAAAAAAAAAAAAAGCAATGAGCACCCCAAGACACAATTCTCTAAATTAAATAATAAAAATCTATACATATACTCTCTCCTATCCCTATTACATGACATCTTTTAGAAGAATTTTTTGCTCTTTTATATAAGGCACGGGATGGAGTATTAATTACATTTTTTCAATGTTCCACTTATTTAAACTCATTAACCATGTGAAAGAATGTAATGCAAAATTAATTTTTATTATTTAAATAGGGGTAACATTATAGTTTAATTATACTATTTAATAGTCTAACCACCTCTCCTTTGTTCAGGTGAAGTAGTTGGAGATGCCTTAATGTGGACAAGAGGGAGTAATTTATGAATATTAAATATTCAAGAATGTTAGCATTTATTTTATTTTTTGATTCGATCAATTTCTTATCATCTATAAACATCTCAAAAGAAATAGGAAGGATGAAAGATAGGCCCTAAGTGGACTAATTAATTTGACTCAGATCCTAAATACCAAACTCTAGGAATTTTCAATTCCAGTTCTCAATTTTATAATTTTGTTATGATGAATTTCTAATTTGTGTTTCAAATTTTAATAAGAAAAAAAAATTATTTATTCTTCAATCATGTTAAAATTTGAAAAACAAGTTGCAAATTTATTATAACAAAGTTGCAAAATTGAGAGCCAAAATTGCAAATTCATGGAGTTCAATTTTAATAATATATTGTTTGATATATGTTTATATAATTGAATAATATATATTTAATTTTATATATAATAACTATAGATGTATTTCAATTTAATTGGCAAAAAAGGAAGACTTAATGCTATGCTAGGTAGGAAAGAAAAGTGAGGGGGAGAAAAAAGTAGGAGGGAAAGATGGGGAGAAAATAACATTTTTCCATGCTTGGCTATGGAAAGAAAAGTGGAAGGGAGAGAAGTTAGAGGCAAATAACATGTGAAACCCACATGTTTTTACCTCCAACTTTTCTCTCCAAATATGAGGAGACTTTGAAAAGAAAATTTCATTTTCAAATTTGTCTACTAATTTTCTTTTATTGTTGCCTCTTTCTTCCCTCTATTTTTATCATGATAATTGTAGCGTAGATACATTTTATTTAGTTTTTAGACTAATTAGACAAATGCTAATTCTAAATTTTCAGATTAATTTTCAATTAAATACCTTATATTTATTAAATTATTATATATTTAATAATTTAATAAATAAAATTTTAAATTGGATAAACTATTTTTTAATTATACTTTGTGTAGTCAATAATATGTGATAATAATCATCATATATATAATATATTAAAAAAATTAAATTTCATTATATAATTATTTTTATAAATAATAAAGTTATTATTGTTTATGTAAAATTAACAACTTTTATCTCCTCCTTGTTTTCTCTTGTTCAGCCAATAATAATAAAAGAAAATTGCATCTGTTTACTTTTTTCTCCTCTTGTTTTCTCTCCTTATTTTCTTCTACAAGCCAAGCACATCATAAGGCTTGGAGTGGAAGGTCAAGGATATAAATCTTGGCTTTGACATATTTTGTAACAAATATGTCATGTGGCATCTAATGGTGATGTGGCTTGAGGAATGTGGCAGGTGACGTGGCATCATCTGCCAAACATACGGCATGTGACATGGCATGAGATGCCAAGTGATATGACATCATCTATTGCACAAGCAACATGAGGTGGCAGATGACATGGCATCACGTGATACACACATGGTAGAGTGACGTGGTATAAATAAATTATTATTTTTTCAAAAAAGTATTGGTAGCAACATTCATTTCCACTAAAAGTAAACTTTTAGCGATAATAAATGTAGCCACTAAAAGTATACTTTTGATGGTGACAAATATAAAAACTACTAATGACAAGAGTTATGGTGATAACCTTTCACTGCTAAAAACTTTTTGCGATGATTTTTGAGCTTTAAAAGTCACTGTCAAAGTCTTTTTTTTTGTAGTTATTAGTTCCTTTTTAATTAGCATTGAATTTATTCTCACATATCCAAACAACTAATTAAACTTTAAAGATATAGTTTAAGTAACCATAAACTTCTAGAACTTTAAAAGCAAAGAGTCAAAAAAAATTGAAAACTAACTCTCTAATTAGGTTACATCCCTATCCCAATTGGATAAATTAGATATACATAATAAAATCAAATAACACCATTTTAGAATTCTCAATAATAAAAAATGATTATAGAGAAAATTAAGGAGTAAAAAAATAATTATGATATGCATAACTCTTCAATGATCCTGCTCTCTACTTTCAAAATGCTTCTAAGGGCCCTAAATATCTCAGAGAGAATTATTGAAATACTTAGATAAGTGAATTGAATGACTTTGAATAAGGCTATAAGCTCTTATTTATAATATTTTTCAATTAATATTTCCTACTCCTTCTAACATTTCATAATATCATTTTAGATTTGATATTATTTAAATAATTCTTGTGCTCCCTCTTGTGTGCGCCTTTTTAAAGCATTTTTCCATTTATATGATTTTTCTCTTTCCATCAATATATTTTATAATATTTCATGCACACAAAAAAGGAAAGAAGATATATTAATAGATTTTGTAGATAATTTATTCTTTATATTATAATTAAGTGATGAGGGAAATAAATATAAATATTAATTAATAACTAAATCTTAATAAATATAATTAATTATAAGCTAAAATATATATCTACTTAATTATAAAATATGAACTTATCACCTATTCAAATAGGTCCAACCCAAACAAACCTAGTCTGTCTGGTCTTGTAAAATAATGAACCCAAGGACTAAAAAAAATCAATGAGACTAGACTTCATCTTCGAGTTAAATTAAGTAAGGGACTGAACTTTCATTCCACTTTGTTCTGGTTTGGTCCTATAAAATTATTTGAGTTTAATTATAATAATTTTTAATATAATTATAATTATAGTGTGAAGCCGAGTGTCAAGTTAAACGTAATATTTTCTCACTTCCTTTTCTAGTTTCCCTAGCATTTTCTCATTCACTCTTCAATCATGCGAAAAAACGCAAGAAGACAAGAACCAGCAAGCCTAGCCTCCCTCACGCCTTCAATCGAAAGAGTTCTGACCTCTCTGCCGATTGAAAATTCTTAAAATTAAAAGTTTAATTATACTAGTTCATGATACAGTTAATAATTTAACCACCTCTCCTTTAATTTGTTTTGGTAATGTAGTTAGAGATACTTTATAATATGGAAAAGAGGGAGTAATTTATAAGTATTAAATATTAAGAATTTGTTAGCATTGTTTATATAAGAAAAAAAAGAATTTGTTAGCATTTATTTTATTTTTTGTTTTTATCAATTTGTTATCATTTATAAACATCCCAAAAAGAAATACTAGTTTTGGCTTGAGTAGAATAAAGAGAAACGTACGTAATGTGATAAATGAGTTATTAAGATGGCAAAATGGTTTAATGGGAGAAAGTATGACAGTGCAAAAGTCCTTCAATCCTATTCAAGAAGGTCAAACCCAAACAAACCTGGTCTAGTCTGATTTTGTGAAATAATGAACCCGAAGGACTAAAAAGGATCAATGAGACTAAACTTCATCTTCAAGTTGGATTAAACAACGGATTGAGCTTTCATACCACTTGGTTCTGGTTCAGCCGTATAAAATTATTTTAGTATAATTATAATAATTTTTAATATGATTATAATTATAGTGTGAAGCCTTAGTGTTAAGTTGAACGTAATGTTTTCTCACTTCCTTTTCTAATTTTTCTAGCATTTTCTCATTCACTTTTCAGTCTCCGTCTTCATGACACAAGAAGCAAAAAGCCAAGAACCAACAATCTAACCCAAGCCTCCCTTATGCTCTTAGTCGAAAGAGTTCTCGCCTCTGTCCATCGAGAATTCTTCATTGTCTGTCGTGTTCCTCCTTCACCATCTGAACGAGTTCTCATTTTCACTGATTTGCGTTCGTGTTCTTCATTGATTCGTGTTTGCGTCTACTGTGTTGGTTAGGTTACCTTCCTTTTGAAACCTTTCTTCAAAGCCAACAATGAGAAAGCATAAACGTGTTATAAGTAAAGCAACAACTTTTCAATAAAAAGCTCTTTTCCTTTCATTGTTCTCATTTGTTTTCGCTCTATTTCCCTTACTTGTTTTCTTATAAAGTACTTAGCCACTTACGGAATTATATAGAATAGGCTGCGGGGAGGTGGTTTAATCAATCAACATAGTTTTTCCTTCACTTTAAACATGTGTTCTGGATACTGTCTAATCAATTTATATATTTGCATGTCATTTATTTTTGTTTGATATATCAAGTGTAATTGATGCTGGAGGAGATGATTGCATGAAGATTGGTTGAAGTTTGTCATTACTTATTGTAATTAAGTTTAGAAATATTGTTGAAGATTTTTGAATGTTCTTATGAATTTGAATCCTTTGAATTATAACCGAAATGCTTTTTTGTTTTTTGTTGGAGATTGTTATAAATTTATTATGATTGACTTTTAATGTTTTGTGATAAATTTTTATGATTATAATTATTTTTGTTCTCTTGATTGAATTTATCATGTTAAAATAGATTGTTATCTCTCACAAAGTAAATTGTTGTCTCTCATAAAAGAAAAAGGAAAAAAAAAAAACAAAAGCAAAGTGAAGTATTGGACTTCTTAGATCAGATGAGACTACAGATTATTTAACTCAATACTTTATATAAAAGTGACCAAACTTTGGGTTTGGTCAATGTCATGTCCTTTCCGTCCTTTGTGAAGCTCTAGGAGAAAGTTATGAAAGTTAATAGCATTAGAAAACTGAATACAACCTCTCCTATATCGTATTGTCATTATGACATAAAAAGAAATGAAAAAATAGAGAAGAAAATTATGTAATGGAGAATAAGTTAAGTCATGTATCAGAGAAAGTAACAGGGAGGTGTGGAAGGACAATGTAAAAATTAAAATCTATTGATATATAAACATAGAACTACAAGATCACAATCAACATACAAAATCAAACACAAAAAGCTATACTTCTTCTATAATGTATAATATATAAAATTTGAACTATAAGTTTAATCCCACTTCACTTTGTTTAGATAGAAGGTCATGGAGAATCGTGTAGGGCTAATAATTAATTTATCTCACTGAATATAAAGCTTCTACATTTTAAGGTACTTCTACAGAAATCATATTGACAAAATTGTCGTGAGACAGATGGCGATAGCAAGTAGCAGCCCCAACACTGACCAATAGAGAAGTGTGCCATGCATCCAAGAAAAAATATATCAAAGCTATTAGCTTTCCTAACACCTCCATTAGGCCATTTTGCTTTCTTAATACATTACCTCAGCCTTTATTCAACTCATGCCAACTTCTCTTGGGATGTTTATTAATGCTAACAAATTATTTAATATTTAATACTAATAAATTATATGTATAGATTTCTTTTATCATTTAAGTCAGAGAATTATATCTAAGTACTCCCTTCATCTCAAATTATAAGACATTTTTAGAGAAAATTCAGCATCCCAAAATATAAGATACTTTGACGAAAATAAAGTTTCATTAATGATACTTTTTTAATATTATCCTTACCATAAATTCTCTTTCTTCAATGTTCTTTTATTAATAGAGTATTAAATGAAGAATATTTTTAAAATTTATATTTTTGTCTTGAAAAAGTAAGGTTATAAAGTGTATTTAATGAGTTTTATTGGTATGTGAGATTTTATCTAAAAATATCTTATAATTTGGAATGAACGAAGTATTTTATAAGTAAAATGCATGTTTTAATTTAAAATATCTTGAGCCAATAAATGTATATTTAAATCAATGAGTTTAATATAAATATTTTTAGCCTAAAAATATTATACCTATGAAATCCAATACTATAATGTATCCAAGCTTATATATCTTCATTCTCTTAAGTTCTTGGATATATCATCCTTTTGTCATCTTCATGTTTTTCAATCTTGTTGGGCTATCCACTCTTTGTGGATCAAGCCCAACATAAATCCATGGGGCTTTATCAAAATACTGAGGAAATTGGGGTCTCAATATGTAATATGTTCTAGGTCTCTTAGCGTAATTTTCCCTTCCATTTTTTAAAAAGAAAGGGAACAGATTTCTTAGCCTCATGCGCGATCTCCACATGAGTTACTTGAGTGTGGTGGTTTTTATAGAGTGTGAAAATGGACACTTTACTTTTTTCTCCAGAACAAAACTTTTCCCCCTTGCTCTCTTCTCTTCCTGTGTGTGCATTTGTTGTATGACTTCGAACTGAGTTTGATAGCGTAACTCCATTCCCGCATATCTCCTAACAACTGATGCAACTACAAGGTACGTTTTCCTCTTCCATTAACTCACATTGGTATTAGAGCATGCATTTGGCTTGTCTACTTTGCTTTTGTTATAGAGATCATGATTTGATTACAACTCTATATTACATGCAAATCTATGTACTCCTATTTTTTTTTTTTTTTGCATGTTGGATATGTTGTTTCTACCTTTGCCCATTTTCGTTCATGTTTCTGTGTTATGAACATGTTTAGTTGCTTTCTTGAGGTTGCGTGTATGTTATATATGGCCGTACACGTTATTCATGCACTTCGTTCACGAAAAAGGCTGTTGAAGCTCTGAAGTTTGGGAGAGTGAAGGCCAAAAAGGTGTAGATCTTAAAAAAATAATAATGAAAATGACGCGAAGAACACGTGAAACGAATGTCACGTAGGAGAAATACAACCAAAAGTTTCAGGTACATCTTCAGGGCCGAGGACCCGACCCATCACTCCAACTAGGTCATTTCAGGGATGACTGAAATGTACTATTTCAGTCATTAAAAAATAAAAAAAAATTGTTTTGGGCTGCTAAGCCTAGTGGCTATATGAAAAAATTGCTTCTGGATGACAAGTTTTTGGGTTTGATTTTTTTAAAAAAAAAATCACTTGGGCCATAAAGTATTCTAAGCTAAAATAAAGGTAAGGATTTAGATCATTCCATGGGTCTGTAGGTTGGGAATGGTCAAACCTAGCTCGGTCAAAAACAATAATGAAATATTTAAAAAACTCAATAATTTTTTTTAAAAACGCCACGTGGCAGGTGGGGGACACCGGGGGGTCCAATTGCTATGTGGAGGACCTGCCCAAAAGTGGACAACGTGTGGACCACAGTGGGGCAGCTCACGTCACGAACGGAGACTAGGAAGGCAGCGTGTGATGTGCATGTAACTCCTCCAAGACCAGGCTTAATTGGAGCTTTCAATTTTCTCATATTTTTTAATCAAGTGACCTTCTCAGGGTGTATACATGAGCTCTGATTAAGATGTGGTTTGTTCATAAAAATCCCTAAAATTGATGTGTTCAATTTGATATCCTATTTGCTTATGTTGAGGCAATACTAGAACTTAATTTTGAGTTTTTGAGGGCTTTTCCATAAGTTTTTATACTTAAAAAATTCTTAATTTTTTTATTTTTCTTTTAGATAAAATGAAGCAAGAGGCTTCAAGTAGTACAAAACCTCAAAAAATTATTCCATTAACATAGAATATTTTGATGAGTTAAATTATAAGCCTCTTAGTGAGGATTCCATCCTCAAACCTTTTGAAGATGAGGAGGAATATAAACTTTTAAGTGAAGATTTTGATCTTGAAGAGGATTTTAATTAATATCTCAATGATGTGCCAAAAAGGTCTAAAGAAGTCCACCCAATGTTAGAACCAAAATGTGAAGAAGATGGTATTGAAGATCTTTAAGATGAAGATAATGAGGTGGAACAATCCTTTATGCCTTCTGTGATAGAAAGTTTGGCTAAGAGACATGCAAAAAGAGTTAAGAATGTAACAAACCTCTCATCAACCATAAGGAAATATTCAAGATTTATAATTGAAGAGAAGCAATTTCAACCAATTTAAAAAAGAACTTACCAAACGAAGTAAGTCCCCCTCAGACATAGAAAATTTGGCCAAGAGACATGCAAAAAGAGTTAAGAATATAACAGACCTCTCATCAACCATAAGGAAATATTTAAGATTTATAATTAAAGAGAAGCAATTTCAACCAACTTAGAAAAAAAAACTTACCAAACGAAGCAAGTCCCAAATCCTCCATGAAAAGATGATGAGAATGCCAATAAAATACAAAGACATATCATTTTATGTCTTACAAACATAAGATGGCTGATAGTGGATTGTATTACTGATCATCAGTACAACGTACGGGGATGAAAGTTACCTTTAAATCCTCGAACATACCACGGGATTTAAATCAAGTGTAGTGAGCTACTAATGTAGCAGCATTATTTTGCATCCATACTAAGTAGCAGCAACATAGTATTTTACATCCATACTAAATAGCAGCAACGTCATATTTTACATCATTGTTTGTAAATGCAGACCTTCATTCTTTGTTTTTCATGAGTGGAATTAACTACTTGTGAATATTTGTTACTTGGAGTTGCACCAAGCGATTATTTAGTTTTTGCAGTGGTCTTGCATTGGTATATGATGCCTGCAAAAAATAGACGAATTAATAAGTTGCTGCTGATCAGAAAATTTTTTCTTACTTATATAACAGCCTTTAATTTACTAGATTAAACCCATAGTGAAAATTGATTATTGCAATAAATTTATAGATGCAATCAAAACCACCATTGCCTGCCGTATAATCGATGATGACGTCTATGAACTTTGATCAGTATAATATTTTCTTGTCAGATATAGCTTATATGTGAATGATTGATGAACTTTGATAAGTTTAATTTCTCTTGTGATTTCTCTAATAATATAATGATATTTTCTCAATATTAATTTTGATGTATTGAGAAAAAAAGGATTAAAGGATAAAAATGTATTGGAACTTTTTCGCCAGCATGCCTAGCATCTTAAATGTTTTTTTGGAGTATTTTTGCCCTAAAAATTTTAAAAATATAACATTTTCACCCCAACATTAAAAATTGTGAAGGTTAACCATTAAATTGAAATTTGACCACGAATATTTTTGTATTTTTCCTCCTGTCTTTTTCATTTAGTCTCCGATTTTGTTCTCCAATGAATTCTTTGACTTTTCGTCTTCCAATGAATGAAAATGAAAACAAAAATGCAAAAATGAAGGAAGAAAAATCATAAAATATCTTGATCAAACTTCAATTGACAATCAATGTTTGCGATTTTTAATCATGGGGCAAAAATTCTCTATTTTTTAAAACATTTGGTGCAAAAATGCTCCAATACAAGGTTTAGGATGCCAGTGCCTCTGAAAGAAAGTTTCAAGATATTCTTGCCATTTAATTCTAAAAACAAAACAAACTTTATGTTCACTTCCATTAATGTGGCAATGCATACACAAGATAATGAAAGAAAGTCATAATAAATCACATCTCTCTTTAAAAAAACAAACAAACAGGAAAAGAAGACCAATTGAAAATGAAAAGAGAAAACATCACTCCAAGTCCCTATACTTTACCATGTTTTGCTTTCAATCCCTATAATTGATTTTTGAGGCTTATCATCCCTTTTGTTTGCTCAACCTAAAATGTTAGTCTCTATATTTTAAAACAAAATACTTATATTTACCATGAGATGACCGAAACTGTAACATTCTAAACTGAATTTTTCTTAACTTAGATGGTCTAGAGTAAGTTAGTTTTGATAATTGAGAGTGTCACTATAAATAAGAAATTGAGGCAAATTGGATTGGAAATTAAGGTTGTGACATGAGATATAGTGGAATTCTAGAAACTGGTTTTTTATGACTAACAATTTCTTTGTTCCAATTAATTCATGGTTGATTACCAATGTAGAATTACCTAAAAATTACTCCCTCCATTCAAAAATATAAGACATTTTCAAATCGAATTTTACCCTTAATAAAGTAGTTACCTACTTTTAAATTAACCACATCTTTCCATAATTATCCATATTAAATACCCTACAATAAATATAAAATTATTTATCAATAGGGGTACTTTTGAAAGGAAGGCAATAATTATACTCGAAAGATTAAAAATGCCTTATATTTTTTAACATCCAACTTCTCAAAAAATGCCTTATATTTTTTAATGGAGGGAGTATATAGATTGATCGTTGGATGTTGGTGTTGGACTAACATTAATACATTGGAAAATCATTCTCTTTTGATATATTCTAAAACAGTGTTAATTATGTTGAGGTTGACTAGAAATAAACATATTGAGTCCCACTTTCTTAAAACGACTATACACGAATGGAAATAAGAAGGGCATAAGAAAAATATATATAAGATATCAGACCAAGGCAAAATTAAAATGGCTTCGGCCAATATTCATGGTCCTTCTAAAAAATTTTCAAATTCAAATAATGAGACTAACATTTTAGATAGAGTAAAGAAAATAAATTATAAGGACTAAAAACAAATCATATTAAAGTACAAGAATCTGGAGTGTCATTTTCCAAAGAAACAAAGAAAACTTACGTCTCGAACCGCACGTCGAAGCAGTTCAATTTGCTCCCTTGAAACAAAATTAACCTAATAAATGAATGAGACACAAGTTAATAAGAACACAACATCTACAAAAATAACTAATTGATTAGTGTAACTTTTATAATTCGTAAAGTAATAATTAAGATGAAACCTGTCCAACAATGGTCCACACCACATTCTCATCACAAGGAGGAGTTGTTAAAGAACCCATATATCTGTAATACACTTTCCTGTTTATGTTGATCACAGACTTTGGATCTACCATACCCAATGGTACTTTCGCCTCTCTGTCTTGAGAAATGCGTATCAAAGCATCCCTCACCTAAAACAAAAGAAACATCATACAAATACACACACGCATTGTTGATATATGGGCATTTTTGGAAATAACTCATCAATGCTTCATTAAATTTTATAAGGCGCAGTATATTAAGGATCAAGCAAAACTTTTAGAAACTGTCTTATATTAAAGACCAAAAGAAGTACGCGTTCTCTCCATAAGTAAAGTTTCTCTTAGAATTCAGGAGAAACAAATTTATTGTGAAAATTTACTGCTTAATTATATATATATTTCAGGAAAAATCAATGTTCTCTTGAATTTATTGTATTTTATCTCGAAAAATTTTAAGAGAAACATGCATGTTTGTTTTGTAGTAGTATATTTGTTACCGTTCCTAAGAAAGGATCGGCCATCCCGATTCTATAAAATACGCCAATCACCGCAATTTGTCCTTCTTTGCTTTGGTGCACCAAATGTATCTCCAAATCAAACCTGCTTTTCAAATATCATACATATGTGAATAGTATCAATCACCGTATCTGCGTAGTGATCTTTCAATAGTACATGGCTATCATACACACCACGCACGCACATACATAAACACAGATACATACATACACACATAAATATGTATATTATAGATATACATATACATATACATATATATATATATATATATATATAAGATTAAAGAGTGCATGCATGCACCTCTTGCCATTGATAGTGTGTTCGGCAGGAGAATGCCAGTGACATTGTTGGAGCCTGTATATGGTTCCATTGATGAGAAGATAGCCAGCGTCTCCAGCCCACTCCACCTATACGCCACCATTCCAAATTATTAATCAGTCATAAATGTGAAGCATGAGCAAGCACGCATATATATATATATATATATAGAGAGAGAGAGAGAGAGAGTGTGTGCGGCTCTTATTCTCTCAAAGACATATCACACTATCATCGCCAAAGTAGTTGTCAATCACGGGTAGCCAATTGGTTAAAATGATATTTTGGTTTTTTATATGGTTAGAAATAATCTTTTTTTTTTTGCAATTTTTAGGACTTAATTTGTATTAATTTTATTGTATAAGGTATTTATTTGTAATTTTTTAAACCTGTTTCCGTATTTTCTCTCAGTCAATTCTATTATTCTAGCTATCAAAATAAAGGATTTTTAACTGAGTGGTAAAGTTACAGCGTTTCTAATACTTTCAAAAAGAGCGAGCATTATTGAACTACTTCATATTTCTAACCCAGCGCCTGTAAGAACATGGTTTAATTAAGGGCAAAAGACCATACATATATATGTGGCTAAATTATACATTTGATACTCTGATTTTACATAAGATTTCAGTTTAGTGCTTTAATTTTAAAAAGTATCTTTTTAATTATAATTTTAACCTTAATACCATTAATTTTAAATGATTATTTTTGTACCATTCATTATTATTTTTTAAAATTAAACTTAATGTGTGAATATTTGATAATATTGTATCATTATTATTTAAAAATCCAATGTAAATTTTTTTTTATGAAACTAACTATATCAGGGTTAAAGAATTGAAAAGAAATTTTATAAAATTATGAGGCCAAAATGAAACCTTTTGAAAAATTAAATAACTAAAGCTGTACTTTTAACCTACACACACATACATTCATAGAGAGAGAGAAAGTGGGTGTAGTATAAGTTGAGTCACCGTAATTTCGTGGCCGGTACTGAAAAGAGTAGCATTGGAGGAACGATAGTAGAGCTGAAGAGGGCCTAAACTGGATGTTAACTGAGACTCATTCAAATTAATGGGAGATTGCATGGTTCCATTTTTGCACTTGTACCACTCGGGTCGAATGTCTCCCCAGTGATCGGGCCCATTCTCACTATCCGGGTCGTAGCTAAAGTCATGATCCTCTGTGCATATTCCACCAACAAGAATTAAAAATTATATTTTGTGTGTGTGTGTCTGTGTGTAGAGAGAGAGGGGGTGCAGATATATTATATTGTAAAATTATTCATATACATGAATCATCATCATGTGCTTACCAGAAGAGGTTGCAGAGAACGAGAGGAAAAGGAGTGCCAAGAAGAAGATTGAAATTCTGGGAATTTTGTCCATTAATTAATCTTTGTGAGAAGGTGAGAGAGGAGTGCAGTGAGAAATATGCATATATAGGGAGCATGTACTGTAGGAAGGAGAAAGAGTGTAGTCCCATTTTTGGCCTCTTTCTAAGTAATCATTGAGCTTGTTGAAAGAAATATGAAATTTCTGCTGACGCTATGGAGAATGTTTCAAAAGAGGGAGGGCATCTCTCTTGAATGACATGCAAATGCCGCCTGATCTTTCACGACACCACTCACAGTACTTGATCTGTCTCTCTCTCTTTTCTTTTGGGAAAATTTTGCTGAAGTCCCCAGATCATACTGATTAAGAAAAAACCCCTTGAATTTTTGATATATCACTGCAAGTTAAGGGCACTGCTTTGATGTTAAATTTTATATAAAAAAAATAACAATATTGTCCCTCATTGAAAAAAGAAAAAAGAAAAGAAAAGCTGAAGTTCAATAAAGGAAGGCGGTGGAAGAGATAGACAAAAGTGAGGGAATGCTCTCTCCCTCTCACTCCCTCCCTTCCTTCCCTCCCTCCCTCCCTCTCTCTCACCTTCTCCAACATCACAAGTAGTTGGTTTGTAATTGGGAACAAAATTACATATGATCAAATGGTACCACTTCATTATTAAGAATTGATCCTGAAACTATAAATGATCTACTTCACTAAATGATGGGGTAGTTGGAAACAACTCTAAATGTATATTCTTTTTACTATCATTATGACCCCCTTTTCGGTTAATTTTCTTTTGTTGTTCATTTTCCATTGTTGTGATAAATTTGGCTACTTTAGTTGTTAACTTGTAAAATTGACAGTGGTATAAGTTGTAAATTTGCATAGTATTGAAGTTCATCTATGTACTGTTGTTGTAAATATGCCTTATTATAGTTGTTTACATGTTCAATTATAAAATGCTACTAAGTAATTAGATTTGACCGTGTACATGTACATAGACTCATTATAAATGGGTTGTTGTTCTGGGAACCAGCTATACTTCATCTTCCATGTAAGAGGGAATTTAAAAATGTTGGTGGAAATATTATTTGAGGGTGGCATTGTACTTGGAAGATGGATAACTAAAAGGGTGACATGTGAAGGAGTTAGAAGTGTGATAGCAAATGATATGTGGAGTATATACAAGGATTTTTGCATGGAGTACAAAGTGATCCCAAGCTAGAGATACATTATTGGATTTTGTAGATGATGTTGGAGTAAATCAACTAATTGGGGACAATGAAACCAATATAGTCATGTGCATGTTTTAAATACATCACAGTTGAAGTTTCAAGAAGTGTAAGTTGTTAGTTTTAACAAATTTGTTAATTTCCCTTCTTAACTTGTTGTTGACATACACTAAGTCGTTAATTTTTCTCATTCACTTGTTAATGTAGCGTACTGGAGTTGTTAGGACTTAAAGATGAAAGTTTATTGAGTCCTCCCAATATTGTGACAACAAGCATTGTTTCTCTCTTACCCTTACAAAGTGCACCACCATGTTCATGCATTCAGAGCTTGCAAAGACCTATAATATAAAAAGTTTGGCTAAATAGAGTTGGCCTACACCAATCCCTAAGATAAATGCTTTGAAGTAGAAGGATTTGATTATGTCAGCTAGGTAAACATTTCCTCATGGAGATAAGTTTAGATACGCATTGTTCAAATATAACATGGCTCACAATTTTTCATATGTCTTCATGAAGAACAATAGGAAGAGGATAACTATAAAGTGTGAAATAGATGATTGTCCCTAGAAAATCTTAGCAAAATGAGTGAGTAAGGAAAATTCATGGGTATGTGTAACATCATTGGAGTTAAAACATTTGCACATTGCACAAAACAACCTTGTTGTCCCCCATAGTAAGAGATGCAAATTAACTTTTAGAATTATAGTAGATGAGTTGAGGTCTAACATTGACATGCCACCCAATGAGATAAAAAAAGACTTGATAAGAGATTATAGGGTGAGACTTAACTATTAACGAGCCTATAAGGCAAAACAAAGGGCATTGGTATCCTTCATTCTTTTCTCCCTCATATTGTGAACAAAATATCTCCTCTTCCTCCTCCTTGTCTTCATTCTTCTCTCCCTCTTAGTCAATGTCTTCCTTACTCATTTCTTCCACTTCTTTACTATCATTTTCCTCTGCTTGATCACTCTCTTTTTTACTATTTTCTCAGTCCTCTTCTTTCTCTTGAATGTCAAGACTTTTCTCTTCTCCCTCTTCTTTTGGTTGTTTCTCATCATTTACAACACCCTTAGTGGAATATATCATCACCAATTCATCTAACACCTACTTTTTCATCTTTAAAACCTTACCATCAATGTGCTTTTTAAACCTTAAATAAAAATCTCTAAGCTAGTCTAGAAGTGCTATATTAAATTCCAATTGTGGTCAATGTCTTCTTCACTCATTTCTTTTTCTTATTTTTCAACTGTAGAACACTCTTATTTCTACAAAAAATTGACCACGCGCTATGACACATGCCACATGCACTGTGCCATGTGGTACATAAAAGCTTGGTTCAAGTTTTGATGACTAATGCACCACAGCATCTTATGCACACGCTGCAACATGTTGTACAGAGCCATTTCTCCTTATCTTTCTCCCATTTCAAGGTCTAGGTGTCTTAACTCTAATTCAGGCTCAATCATAGGGCTAAAATTATAACCTAAAATATCCATTATCTTTTTGTAACTACACCATACTAATTGCCTAATTAATTTCATTTAACACAGCTAATTAGGGTTAATTTTCTAGGATGTTACACTTATTGTCAACTTTATGGTGGGGGGTCAAAAGCAAGCATGATCTTGTTGGACAGGGCCTGTAGTATTCTCTTGCAAGTTATGTCTAGTAAGCTGCCAGAACTAATGTCATCGACCTTTATTTTCAATGAAGCATCTACTTTTAGATATTCAACAACCTCTATGAACTTTACAAATGAACACCAAGTGTTAAATGGTGCCAAATACTTCTTCCTCTCAAGCCTAGATGCTAAATAGTTATTCCTCCATACTTCTTTCTCCTTATTTTGATCATGTTCAAATGTCCCATTTTCTTTTCTGCTTTCATGAAACTTCATTACATATATATGTCATCTTATAACTCTTTGCTCACCTTTCTCACCATTCTTTGCCTTATAAAAAAAATCAAGTTCATTGTCATTCAGAGGATAGCAACCTTTTTGTTCTAAAGAAATTACATCATGAACAACCTAAGTAGGTTACTTAACCACTACTGTTGAGGCAATAAACAACTTGATGGTGTTATTTACAACTCCCATTTGTTCCTTATGATTCAATGACTTGTTCATTTACATGCCTAAACTTGTTCTCATTTACTAACATTACTTGTTCATTTCTCTAACCTAACTTGTTCATCTCCATGACCACACTTGCTCATAATTGCTATGTGTGTAATGAACAACTTGAGTAAGCTACTTAACCACTACTATTCGAGCAATGAACAGTACAATTCGGCCAATTCTAACTTTGCTGATATATAAACGACCTACCTCAACTAAAATTTGCCTAACTTTGAACAGGATTTCCAACAAGAGATGATTATCGAAATCAAGAGATTAACTTCTACTAATTTTCCCTAGCTAAAGCAGAGATTTAACTAATGACTATTGAAATCAAGAGACAATTAACTTACATCATTGTGCTTCTAGCAGTTTTTTGCACATTACCTATGGTTCTTCTTCTGTCAAATGCTCAACAAATGCCCTCTTTTACATCCAAGCTGAGGGAAGAACAATGCCAACCAAAATAAACTATGAGGGTCAAAAGTGGTGGCAGACCGGATGGTGACTCAGTCAAGGGAGATTCTTGGGAACTTGGTGATAGAGGTGTCACTAATCTTCAAACTTAAAAGTTTGGGAAGCTTTACCACATGCATCATCCATCTTCTACATGTTTGCATCATGGGTTGTGTTAATTCACCCTTTTTTCCTTTAGTGAGGGGTAATATTGTCATTTATCCATAAAATTTAATATCAAATCAATGCCCCTGACTTGTAGTGATATATTAGAAATTCTGAGACTTATTTTATTTTATAATAAGTATGGTTCTGGGATCTTCAGTGAAATTTTCCCTTTTCTTTTATTGACTTTACGAATTAATTTAATTTGGTGCATCTCACCGACTTCCGGGTCTTCCCTCTCATCTCATGGGCTCGTTTCGCAGTAATTAGCGGAATTTTTCCCCTAAAGAAAAAATAGTTAGGTTCGTAATTAGTTACGATTAATTTAGAGAGATCCGTTTACTTGGCGAGTGCTGATGTACTTATGCGTCGACTATGGACTAATGCTGCATTCCTTTCACTCCAATGGAATCTTCAGCGTGCTTTGTTTAAATAAATTAATTATAGACTTTTTATCTATTACAAATTTCTAATAATATGTCAGGCTGACAAAACAAAACATTTTTTTTTTTTGCCTTCTTCAAATACGCATGAATCTTGCGGGCTGTCAAGGAATGAAGAGGATTTGTCAATATAAATGGGCGCAGGGAGTCAAAAGAAATTCAATTAATCCAGCCGGCACGCGAAGAACCAAGTTATGCTGTCTTCTCTTTTTCTTTCGTCAAAAAAAAAAAAAAAAAGGAAGAACTGGTTTGTGTGAAACTGTGAAATGGAATAAGGCGTGTCTATAGCTTCAACCACACATGACACGCTGTGACGTTCCACGTTGAAAGAATTTTGAAAGGGTTCTGGATATATAAATAGGTGTATTGTACATTTTACTGAGCTAACTTTTTTTAGAAGAAAGTAATGACTTTGTGATAAAATAGTATCAACGCTAAATTTGAATTTGCCTAATCAATGGGCCCTTCTAATTAGCCACTTGTTATGAGGCATCATGAATTGACAGGAGGAACTGTCATGTCCCATGTCAAAAGAATTTGAGGAAGATCTTACATTTATAAGCAGGTTTGCTATATATCTCACTGAACTAACTTTTTAAAAAGAGAGTAATCACATGTGGTAACACCCTATCTCCTCGA